TTCGATAATTTTCAGTTCATGCAGGCTACTATTCAATGAGGTGTGGATATTTCTTATACGGTTTATTGTAGACATTTTTTTCCTCAGACGGATGAGATTAAAATAAAACTGCCTTTTTAAGTTGACATAGAAGTTTTCAAAGTGAAATAATCCTTTCTCTTTTCCAACCTCTGAAATATTATCATTGTTTTTATTGAAGCACACTTCTTTGTAGTAGGTGGCGAGATCGGAAAATGGAAAACCAAGCACCACCAGGGTATCACGAGCAGCAGCATTTTGCCTTTTTATCCCCGCGCTCATTTCACTAGATTTCCATGTCTAACAGGACCTGTAATAGTTTTGTCATGATATTTTTCTTATCGAGTTCTGCTAGGTCACTTCCTAGTTAGACCAGGAAACAAGACTCATTTTCCAGACCTTTTATGTTGCTAAGCGTGTAAATTATACTTTTAGAGTTTGAGAAGACTCTAAATTTTCTAGATTTTTTTTGGTGTACCTGGTAACACTGATTCATTTTAGAGATACCAATAGCCAAGCATTCTGTCGTAAAACTTTAAAAGATACTATGGGACATTCTCAAAAATTTTCTATTACTTCAGATGGTGAAACTAACTTCCGGATCGCCGTTGCAATCATCTGTGAGTCTCGGTTTATCGGTGAAGACATCAATCGTACCACGCTCCCCCGCAAGTTTTTTAAAAGCTGTACCAGGGTTCTTCACTTCCTGCAAATTTTTACCAATAATGGTATTTAAATATTTTATTGCAGTCAACGTGGTAAAAGAAAATGATAGAGAACTTTGGGTGTATATCAGATCATATAACAAGACTATTATGATACTAACTATTTTGGTAACAATTAAAAATGAGTGATTTGATAAAATTAGAGCTGTAGATTGGATTTTTAGGGGTTATTGGAAACTCCGACTACATTACAATTTTACATCCCTTTCGTGAGAGTCAGAGGTATGTTATACACTTCACTTAATTCGCGTTTATTGTATTTACCAAAATTTGTATTTTGAAGAGTTTTTTATTGCTCATAGATTTTTTTACTTGATGAGGGCCAGGACATCATCCAAACGGCCGAAACGTCGTTTTGTTTTTTAGTATGTTCAAAATTTGACAGTACTACCATTGGACGTTGTTTTAAATTATTACCAACTGTCATTGGACGTCTTATTTTATGATTTTTTTTTATGTTGGATTTATTGTTATTGTTGTTTGTGGGTTCGGTATTATTGAGGATGATGTTAGGTAAAGTGTCTGTAAAGAATTGGTATCATGTTAAGGGGTTAGCGTTGAGAAAATCAAGGTTTAGAAATTTTTCTTTATGTCTGTCCACGTCTATTTAAAAGTTAGTAGGTCACAGTATGTGTAGAAATCTTATTTATTATTAATCCTTGTAGTATTACGCTATGAAATTCTGATTTCTTACTGCATTTTACACTATTGTGATTTATTTCACTCAACAGATGTATGTTATAAATGAAAAATTCATTTTATTTTTCTTGACAAAAGTCCTAGCTTTGAATTTATTTATGGTGTCTTTCATTCGTATAGAGTCCTAAGGCGAAGAGTGACAGGGTTTTTTCTTTGTGTATTTATTCTAGTTTTCAGAGGAATTCTGGGGTCTAATAGTGGAGTCTACCTCCTTGTAAAAGCGCAGTAAGATGAAATTGCTGTAACTCTGTTTGTTAGGGTGAGATAGGCTGTGAATTCATACAATCGTTTGGTTTTGGATGGTCAGCAGCTTTATCTTTTTTATGTTGAGATAGTTGCTGTTTTTTTAGGCTTTTGTTGTTCTTTTTAGATCTATTTGTAATCTTAGCTTCAGGTTGCTCTGTAACCGCTTCAGTTTATTTTGTCTAAATAGTCAGTCTTTAGGTACTTCTCAACTCTGGATAGTTTTTTTTGGTTTAGTTCTTATCACTTATTTCTTGGTCTCAGCTCTTGTGATATCGTTATAGGCCATTAGGACGTTAATCCTATATTGTATCTTGTAGACCGGACAATCAAAGGGTACTATGCCCTCACAGCCTTGATACTCGTACTTCTTCTGTCTGCACATGGTGCAAGGTGCCTCATTTCTGCATCTCTCAACCGTATGGCCAAAATCGTTAGCGCCCCAAGCACAGCATGGGGCACGCAACATAGGGCTCCACTTTTTTAGCAGTTTAGCACGGTTTAATTTCTTGAGGAAGGTTTCAAGCCTTGAAAGTTAGCAGCACGGTCTCACAGAAAATCTATTTGTCCTTATCATTCTTTAGAGACTTGTTTTTTTTCTTCACGCTTAGACTGTCAATCATGAATATGATTTTTTGCAGATGACGAAAGCATATCTATATGAATTACTTCTTATATTAGGCCTTTCTAAACCTGCCTAAGGAGACGGATGTATACCATAAGTCTGTATCCTTTTAGTGGATCATCTTGGATGATTCCGTTTGCCTCTACTAAAGTTTTGTATCTAATTTATATTTTGATAGTTTGATTATAGTATGATATTTTGATAGTTTGTTATTAGATTTTTCGGACGCCCCAAGGCCTTCAACTTTTCTCTTGTGATTGTCTTCAATGAACTTCATGCTTTCTTTTATGGCATGGGAGCTTATCTTTCTGAAGTTCTGTTTGAAGTCTACGTCACGACCATGTCCGCACAAAAGGCTACCTACGAAACGGGAGCCTGCTTTTATCAAAACACTAACAAGTAGCGCAATATGGTACTACACACAACAAACACTCACTGCACTCAGGCTAAAGTATCTGTCGGGCTCGAGTAAAAAACACTAAATAATAACTATTTCAGAGACTATGCTTTATATATGAGGAATATTATTTACTATTTTTTGATATACGACATGATATATTCTTATTTCAGAATGATAAAGTTTTGCGGAAAAATTAAAAATATACGTATCATAGAACAATTTTTTAAATGAATTTTTGCCTAATTAATTTACAGATGTTTTATTTATTTATTGTACAACTTTTTATGTAAACACCATATCATGAAGCTAATTTTACCACGGGATGAGGGTTCTCTCTTTTTTCATAGTTAGATAGAGCTCAGTAACGTGATTCATAAATCCAAGCCATCTTAATAGGCCGATGCTTTGAGAATTTGTAATATTTCATAACAAAGTATAATTTTTAATTATATGTGAATTAGTGTCATGTCATATAAATAAATACAAAGAATAAAGATGATGTCTACAGTTCAAGCATAGTTTTAACAAAAATGAGCTTAGCACTCTAGGAACTGTATATTTATAAATAAATTGAAATAAAACAAACATAAATTCACGTATACTTAAATGAGGTATTAAATATGATAACTGTTTATCATTCGTATTATAGTGTCCATTTATTCAGTTTTCAGAGAATGCGGAAAAATATATGAATAATAGTATATATTTTAGTATGTGGAGGATGGTAAGAGATCCCTTAATTAGCGTGGGGGGGGGGCTGTGTGGGTCGGAGCAAAAATTTTATTTTAAATAACGGAGAAAATAACTGGATTTACTTCTGGTTAATCCAGTTAACTGTTTAATAATTTTTACTGAGTGCTACTTGTGTGATGCTTGATACATTGTTAGATAATAAATCACAACGTAAAGAGATCATTTTTGTAAAAAAAAAAATAAAATAAAATGAAAAAGGTTGGGTGTTATAAATAAGACATTAAAAGTACCCTTTAGAAGATTAACGAGATTTGTAGTTTATGTTTAGGGTAAATGGCAATAGCTTTGAAAAATTAAAGAGTTCATTAAAAAACTGAGGAAAGAGTATAAAAAGTTTGTTTTTTATTATTATTATTTTTTTTTAATCATATGGCTTGATTCTAAGAAGCCAGTGTTGTTTTCACTTCGCTCATAAGCCACTCCAAGTTGAGACAACTACAGTGTATACAAAATCACTGCACATCTTGAATTGACGAAAAAATTTTTTCTGGTCTCCTAATAAGATTTTTAATTGAAGCAAAAACTGACACGCAAATTTAGTGTTATGAAACATTATGAAATAATACGCATAGTGTTGTAAGTAATAATGTAAATACTAATGCTATAAAAACTGTAGTCATTGTATGATTAAAAAATTATCACCATCAAGAATAATTTCAAGAATTTTGTGCTAAAAACAAAAACATACCAAATACTTGTTTTTTATCCCAGTTACCTCTGAAGATTTAGTCAAAGTCGAAATTCGGTTATTCTTTCTTGAACAATCATCATTGTTATGATCTGATTGAATAGGAATGACTTCCTGATTTTTGTTACTATAAAGAAGTTGAGAATGATTTTCCAACATAATTTTTTCAAAGGAGTATGTGCTTTCTCCATTTGAAATTTTTGAAGAAGATTTTGTTTTCAAAACACCGTTTGCAGGGTTTGAAATGAGATCATCTAAATCAAAGTTAGTACTTTTTTTTTTAGGCTTTTTAAATTCACTTCTATCAAACTCATTTTTTGACGTTCCTTTAAATGAGTTAAGGGTTTTTAGAATCTTGTTGCTATGAAGTAAGCTTTTATTTGTTCGATATGAGTTCAATAAATGCCCATTGTCATCAATGTGCGATATTTTACGTTTCATTGTTAACTTATTCCTTTGATACTCACTTAGAACTAATTCATTTTTATCTTCAGTAGTAACTTCCGTGTTCTTAAATTGAGGTTCAGTCTCACTTTCATTAGTTGTCAACTTAGTCACAGCTTGATTAATTTCTTGATTTAATTTAATTTCACTGATAGAGTTATCCTTCACGTATTTTTTTATGGGACTTGATGATGGTGGTTGATAAAAATGTTTTTTTAGTTGGACTGTACTAACATTTTCATTAACATTCATTGATGAAAGTTTTTTTGCAATTAAAACTTTATTATGAGACTGATAAGTGTCTGGTGTTAACATTTTTTTTTCACCTATTAAACGAAACGTTATACTGTTTATAAAATACTTATGTAAAAACAAATGATATTCAAAAATTATAGATTTACTTACTTTCTTCGTTTTCTTGGGTGTAACCATTAGTTTCAGGGACGAAAATTCTTTTCGAGGCACATGTGCTACGATTATAATCAAAGTTAGGAACGAGAATGTCTTGAGTATCAAGTGCAAGTATTTCTGATGTGTCTTCTTTAAGACTTTTCCTCATAATAAGTTGTTTGAAATGATAAGTTGGATTGCAGTATTGATCTAAGGATGCATACATTATTGCCAAAGGTATTTCAGTTTCAGCGATCATTCTGTGATTCTTTTTTTGTAATTCCTCATCTAAAAATATTGTAGTTGTAGTATCTTACATCAGGAAACTATAGATTTAATAGTTTCTTATTTTTTTGCTAAATAATAAAGTTTTTTTGTAAGTAAAATATGAAAATATTTTTAAATAATTACTTTACGTAATTTTGATTTTCTTTGGAGGCAGATATAAAAAAAATGTTATACTCTATTAGAGCTCAGCACCGTAGAACTACTAATACTACGGATCAATTAAAAACTTTAGTAAAGGTTAATAAATTTTATATCCTTTTTAATGTAACCGCTACCATGTAATTGTAGAATTTTACACTAAAATACATTGATATAAGTTATAATCTTGAATGAAGTGGCAAGACAAATATAAACAACAATACTATACACTTGTGGTTAGGCCAGATTGTGGAAGAAAATTTACCAAACATGAATTAAACTTTACTAGAAGTGATACTTGAAAATCAAATTCACTTGGCTTGCGTTAATTTTCTGTTTTTGAAAAACTATTTTTTTATTGCTAATTTTTACATCAGCTTAATTCCTCGAGTGTACGATAATTGAGTCAGTATATTATCGACAAATACTGACAACTACTTTGTTAAAACTATTTTTAAAAGTACCAGTCATTCAATCTTATCACACCTTATTCTTCAGGTAATGTGATAGTATTTAAAAAAATCATTTCATGAATGCATAAAAATGATAAAATACCAGTATAAATTATATAGAGATACACATTGTAACTGGGAAAAAAAGATATGTCTAAAGATGACATTGAAATTAAAATAGTTGAATGTATATCTGGTAGATTGCGACTCTTCATGATAAATCATTGACTCATGATGTATAGTACTGTTTAAATAATACAGTTTTCTACTTAAATTTTTGTATAATGTATAAATCTTCTTAAGCTTGTAAAATAAAATCCTAAAGTCACATTAAAAAGAAGAATTAATTATTATTTTCTATTATCTATTATTTCACTATTATATTATATCTATTATTTCACTAAATTTCAAATATATCTATTCGCTCGGAGCTGCGCATTAATTTTATAAGGTTTTGTGTTTTTAGATAGCTTTTTATGGGTGGTCCCAAAAAAATAGATACATTTTTTAATTTAAAATACTTCCAGCCCTTAGCTCTCAAAAAACAAGTATGTTGTTACACGAAATATTTACTAAGTCTGTTAAAAATTTGGTGACGTTCTATTTTTGCTGGATCTTAAGATATTACAATAGAAAGATCGAAAATTATGGTAAAAAATTCGTAACAAAAAGTGAACACGTAAACGACAACAACCTTTTAAGTGCCTCATGCGTGCCCAGCGTTTGTAATTTTTAATTCTCATGATCTGTTTTTTTTACTAATTATTTTCATTTTTATTATTTTATTCTAACTATGTAATAACTGCATTAGTATTTTTGGGCACTAATATTTAGTAGCCTCTTTGAAATGCATCAATGTATATATGGTTTAAGCTATACAGGACCACTGAGTACGTCTCTGAGTCCTCAGTCTGTTAAAATTATTTACTGTCAACTTTTTCGTGTTTTTTTCTTTAATTAACGACATTTGCGTTTGTCAGTAATAGAAATCTGCGTGTAATTAAATATAAGTAGAAAGAGAAGTTAAAATAAAAGACATGTATGGTGGAAAAAGAGGCTTTAATCACAAGGGGAAGAGTAGTCAAAATGGTAGAGAATAAATAAGAGGACAAGCAAAACAAAGGCAATAGAGAAAACAAGAAAAAACGACAGGAGTCATCCTGGAAAAATATCGCGAAAGCCAAAAAACGAGGGGATGAAAAAAAAACAAAAACTTTTTGACATTGGAAGTACCAGATTTAAGGTTGAAGAAAAAAAAGTAAAGCACTCACCTATTAGAAAAGAAAGTTAATCATTCTCAGAAACAAACGAGAGACAGCCTTGGTAACAACCTATCTCATCAACGAGCAGAAAAAGTCAGAAGGAAATATAGCATTAGGTTCCAAACAGAATGTTTAAAAAGAGTAGACATGACTCGTTGGAGTATTAGCAGACCAAGAAGGTAAATAAAGGTATGGCTTTGTAAGAGGGACAGAAAAAGCGATGACCGTAGCAATTTCTGTTCTAGAAAAAAGTTTAGCAATGGTTATCAGAAAACAAAAATACTGTTAGTAATAAATGAATAAGTAAAACAATATGGATAAAAGAACATAAAGACATGAAAATAACAACTGCGAACAGCTCAAAATGTGTTAAGCTTTTTTAAGAAAGAGAAAGCTAGTTATAAAAAAACGAAAGAGACCCTTGGTGTGATAAAGGAAAATAGGATAGACTAATGGTAGAAGTAGACTAAACATAAAAGTAATGAAACATTTGTAGCCAATGAATTAATCCAAAAACAAAAAGAGTAGCCAGAAAGCTAAGGAGCACAAACTGTAAGAGTTCAAATATGAAATAAGAGGACGACATAAAGAAAATTGTGTATTTTCGACGAGGATGAGAACAGTACGTTAAGTTATAGAAAGTGGACTAAAAATTATTTGTTATTGTGTGTAGTGAAATATTTTTGTGAAATTGGCGGTCATAAAAAAGATTAATTTCACTGAAAATTACTTGTATGAATACGATGTTGTAGCACTTAAAGAAACATGGCATGAGAAATGTAATAGAGAAAGTTGATTAATGGGACATGAGACAATTGGAAATAAGACACAATTTGTAGGCTAAAGGAATGCAGCTACGAAAAAAAATAATAATGAAAGAGCAAAATGAGATGTTTTGCTGAGAGCGATAAAATAAGTTAAAATACCGAAAATGTCAAAATAGGGATATGAGGTAGTGATTATGAGCTTAGGTTAGAGAGAAAAAAAAAGACTGTAAAACTTACACTAATCCCAAGTACGCTTCCAAATATACAACACAAAGCGGACTCACACACCACACACACATACACAATAACACAAATTAAAGCTTCTTTAACTCTATTCCGGCGCAAGCCAAGATTCGAGCTTCACCCAGATGCGTAAGTGCCCCTCCTCTCATCTCTTTGAGAGCAAGCTGGCCTTCCAAATTCTCCGTTATTTTTCTTCTTCTCTCTTCTCTTATGCCTTTTTTGTCTTCTAGGGGAGTGGTCCTAACGGACCTGTCCCATGCGGGAAGGTTAGTTTTTAGGTTTTTAGTCGGTAGGCACACTGGATGACTTCAACACTACCACCGGATTAGCTGGAGTGTTAATAAAGATTTTTTCCTTCTCGCTGCATCAAAAAAAAAAAAAAAAAAAATTGTGATAATTTTTAAAAATTTTACACTGATATCATACAAAAAATACTGAAAGTTGTGGCAGACATAATAGTCAGAAGGGAATAACAAGTTACAATATCTGCGGATGTTACGCTCGTACAAGCAGATAGAAAATTAATCTTGAGGAGGAAAAAGAAGTAGAACTTAACATGATAGAGAAACAAACAGGAAAAAAATAAGCTATTGCACACGAGTGAAGACTTAGGCTTGACTATCAAAAATGAGTCAACTAAAGGAAATTGTGAGGAAATAATTAACGTTTGTAGAAGATGTAGATAGTCCAATATTTAATATGGTAGAACAACTAGGAAATAAAATGTTATGTTAGTTTTATAGGGTTTCTCTTGTTTATTGAAAAGCTGTTATTTAATATAATAACTTATTTTAAAGTTCATTAAAGTGAGATCTTTTTTGTGCTTATGATTGCAGATTCAGTTTGCTTGCATGAATCTTGTTGTCTTACTACCTTTCTCATCTAGTTTCCAAAAGTGGCACAAAGTTAAACCTGGATTTTACTTATTTTGTACCTATGGCAATGAGTACATAATTACTAAACTGAGTGTCAAGCTAGCACTAGCTTCAAAAACGTTTTTTTGTTACTAAAAATGGACTATAAACTGTTCTTTAGATGACTAAAATTTAATATTTCCTCTAGTAGGACATTTGTGCTCGTGATTGCAGATGCAGCAAGCTCCGATCATGTCATCCCGTGCGATCAAGTAATTATTATTACAGAGATTGTGATTAAACATTTCTTAACCAACTAGTGTACCAAACCTATAACAATGCTCATGATACATTATTTGGCACTAGTCTGCATCTTAAGCAGCAGTTGTGTAGTATTTAAGCAATACTTAAGTAGCATTGAAACTCAAATTGACAAGTACTTGAGCAAGGATATGGACTCAATAAATTAACTCTAAGACGAAAATGTTGCGTGCCTTAAAGAGTTCTTAAACATCAATCAAGCAATGTCTGATCCAATCAGGACTTCTACGTAAGCTGCACTTGTGCATTTTATAGTAGATTGTATGATTTATTCGATGTTACAATTGATATATGTATATTTTAGAGCTCTTTTAAACTGTCACAAGTACTTGGAGGGCATCTTAATTGTTACCAAATGCTTGGAGGTATTCTGAAATGTCGAGAAACATAAAAAGTTAACATTAAAACTTTATTTTTCACTTTTTCTGGAGCTTTTTTATAGTTTTCCGTAAAACTATAATGGAAAATAGAAGTTATTCAACGTTACAATATTATATATTTAAGCATATTGAAATCGTAAGAAGTACTTACGGGGCCTCTCAAGTGTTAAGAAAAGTTGGGAGGATGTTTTCATCGTTGACAAATATTCGGAGGATTTTTTTATCGTCGAAAAATACTCTAGTAGGTTTTTCAATCTTTAAGAAGTTCTCCAAGGAATTGTTAATCATCGCAAACATTTGTGGGTCTTCTTGACTATTAAAAGTACTTGATGCGGGTGGCTTCTGGATCGTTATAAAATACTGAGGAGGATTTTGGTCATCAAGAAATATTTGGAAGCTTTTTCGATCGTTTAGGAATACAAATAGTATTTTTTCATTGGCTATAAATCCACAAAGAATATGAAAACTTTTTTTGTTCACTTCTTGTGTGGCTCAATGATACATCATCTGATAAAATACTAATGGATCATATAATTTGCTGCACATTATGGTTGCATATCTTTGTGTTTTTTCTCTTATTAAC